GAGGCTCCATTGTAATAATTTATTTCACCAGAGACATTTATTTTTCCCTGGATCTTCAGACATCACTTTCAAAAGGTGAAACGAAAAATTTTCATTTTCATTTTTCATTTCACCTTTTGAAAGTGTTGTCTGAAGATCCAGGGAAAAATAAAAGTCTCTGGTGAAATAAATTATTACAATGGAGCCTCAAAGTGGTCTGTTTTTCTTTAAATTATATATATATATATATATATATATATATAAATTCCCAAGAGGATAGAATCCAGGTAAAACTCAATATACAGGACAGAGTAAGAATATAATATAAAAGGCTGAAACATTAATATTCCATGGTTATAATTTATTACATTGGAATCGTAATCACGATCCAGTTGATCAGACCTACAAATTCAGAAAGAAATCGGATTAAACAATTTTAATGTTTCGATCTTAGTATTAAGTATTAAGTAATTTTAATATCTCGATAACAATATGGTTTTGCTATTGCTTGGCACCACAAGCAGAAAGGACATTGTTTGGATTTTGCGATCGGAATTACTCCTATCGTATCATTCTAATGACAAAGTCTCACCGTCACATTTAAAGGGAATATGTATCAAATGTTTTTCGTCAACATTTTCTTGAAACTTGAACATTCATTCGCATAAACTCGAATAAGTAAATCTTTTAGGATTATATGAGCGAAGCGCAGATAAAATTTTCAAACTTGCTCGAGAATATTTTGAAAGCGATCCAAGTACCATGAGACCCTCAAGAAGTAGAAAATCTGAATATATTGAAAGTTTACGCGCTGTAATCAAAGAAGGGTCGACTGACAAAGATTTGCAAAAAGAGAATAAACAGATCTGGGAAATCCATGCACTATCCAAATATCGTATCGTGATATTTCGAATGTCATTTCTTCACGTTTTATGCAGGCATCTTTGGCAAAACTTCATATGCTTCAGGTATGTTAGCTCAAAGCAAGTACAGCTCAAATTTCTCTCACTCAATCTCTCTCTCCCTCTCTTTCTCACTCACTCTCTTTCTCTCTCTCTCACTCTCTCTCTCTTTCTCTCTCTCTCACTCACTCTCTCTCTCCCACTCACTCTCTCTCTCACTCAATCTCTCTCTCTTTCTCACTCAATCTCTCTCTCTTTCTCTGTCTCTCTTTCTCACTCACTCTCTTTCTCTCTCTCTCACTCACGCTCTCTCTTTCTCTCTCTCTCACTCACTCACTCTCACTCTCACTCTCTCTCTCTCTCTCTTTCTCTACAACCTCTTGCTTTTTCAGTTGACGTTAAAGGGGTTTTAAGAAAAGGTAAATAATTAATATTTACCTTGAACCAGGTTACAGGGAACGCAGGTGAAGTCTCGTATACGATATGCGTACATGAATTCTGGAGTTACAAGAATTGCAATCGACAGAATCTTGTTTAGAAAAGATAGCTGACAGTTTTGATAATGACTGAGATTGTCGAAAGTACTTGAACAAAAACAGAACAAAACCTTTTCTATCAGCAGATTTACCAAATATACTTCTTCATGTCTCTCTCTGAATTTCTCTCTCTCTCTCTCTCTCTCTCTCTCTCTCTCTCTCGGCATTTTATCTACAATTTTTATTTTGATGTCGATGTACGACAGCTTATTCGTAAACTGGGAAAATACAATAAAGACTGAACATATCTTGTAAATACAGTTGAATGATTTTCACGGTTTATCAACCTTTTGTGGGTTATTTAAAGCCGAAAAGTATTATTTTGGATCGTAAGAACAATGTGTTTTCCGTCCTGGGTATGACGTTAAACTACATCCGGGGACGATGAACCTCTATCCGACAGCAGACCACTGATCGGGAGGTTTGGGGAAGCGTGGAACCACCTCTTATTTGCTGGTGTTCCCAGGTTCACTCTGTTCCGGGGTGGTGGCACCTGTTTGGGACCCAGCTATCGGAAAGTAGTCAACCCCCAAGCTGGGGTTAAAACACTATGAAAATGTTAAAATAGGTTTTAATATCGGAAATACTTTGTAAAAAAATATTACCAGCAATACATTTTTATAAAAAAAGATATTACTAGCTCTACATTTTTGAAAAAAAAAAAATTACCAGCAATAAATTTTTGAAGAAAAACATATTAGTCGAAATACAAATTTTGTCGGCATTAAATGGCCCAACGAGGTTGATATGCCGTAAAACAAAACAAACCAAACCAAACAATTATTTTTTTTTGTTTGTTTTTGTAATTGTTTTAACAATTTTCTTGGTGATATCAATGATTCTTCCAGATATAAATCCTACTATTTAACCCATAGCAGGACTAAGGTTATTTGCACGTTAGTGAAAATAACGAAATTGACGGGAATTCGAACCCGGCTCTAATAATTCTCATTCAACGACGCTTTCTAATACAATACCTGCACATCACAGTTGAATTCAGCAAAAAGTATTGCTTCCTAAATACAGCTTTTATATATATATATATATTTTTTTGTACTGGCAAGTTCACCTTTTAAAAGAGTTTGGACATAGGAATTAACACTGTATCGTCACTGTCGTTTTCACGCATCAATGTATGTATATGCATGTATGTATGTATGTATGCATGTATGTATGCATGCATGCATGTATGTATGTATGTATGTATGCATGTATGTATGTATGTATGTACATGCAGAAAGATAAAGGAAATATGTGGAAAAAGTTTTATGGGGAGACAGTTCAGATTTAGTTCATGCAACACTGAAAATGAAGAGAAAAATATTTTGTAAAAAAATATATATCTAAAAAAAAATGACCAAACAATTCTAACATTAATAAATATTGTTTAAATTCCATACCTTTTTTTAAAAAAATCATTTCTTCCCAATCAAGGTGATAATGCCACTAAGACGTAAGCGTAGGAGATACTGGAAGTGAAAGATAATGATCGGAAATCTGGTTTTAATCAGGGAAAAAAGGATAAAGTTTTACTTCTGTTCAAAAAACGGAGAGGACGTGAATTGAACGACAGTTGGACCTATGCAATCTAAATTGCTTTTTATTTTTCATCACAATTTAAAAACCCATTTACTAAGTTCAATCAACTTGATAAATCCACTCCGAAATCAAGACGCGGATGAGAATCGAACTCAATCTATTTAAGAAGACGTCCATCAGATGACTTTGTTAACCATAGAGTTCGACAAGAAGGTCTATTGCTATATTTTGTCACCCAAAAAGTTTTCGAACGTTTTTGTAGTATTTAGGATTAGAAGCAGTTGAATTAAACATGATTTATGTTCTTAACTAATTTTGTTTAATCATCTAAGTGGTTTTAAATTTTGAGCTTGTTTTTGATTCGAATGTTATTGGAACTTATTTTACCTTTCATTCCTAACTCTTTCCGAGCATTTTCGAGAAAGAATATTGCTTTCTTCGAGTAATCCTGGTTCGCCTTATCTGATAAAAGACAAGAATATTGACAAAGGCAACAACTGGTTTGGAAGTGTATATCTTTACAGACATTGTTAATATCGAATGTGAGTTCTACCTGAAAGTAAATGGGCAAATATATTAAATTTATAATGTTCTTTCACTTACGTTTTCTATTCAGTTTCCCAACCTAAATGTCCTTGCTTAAACTGATCTTTCATGTAATTCTTATTTATTCATGCTAACGTAGGAAGTAAGCGGAAACTGCAGCTGTTAAAAACGGGGGACTCTATACGTCTTCACCATTGCTCAGATCGTTTCCTTCTCGTCTTACTTCCGACTTGGTTAGTTTACTTTCTATATTAGCTTTCCCCTAAACTTTTTTTTTCCTTTTGTCTCTCTCTAGTTTCTTTTCTTTTTTCTATCTATCTATCTATCTATCTATCTATCTATCTATCTATCTATCTATCTATCTATCTATCCCATTCTGCCCATTATCTATCTATCTATCTATCTATCTATCTATCTATCTATCTATCTATCCCATTTTGTCCATCATCTATCTATCTATCTATCTATCTATCTATCTATCTATCCCATTTTGTCCATCATCTATCTATCTATCTATCTATCTAACTATCTATCTATCTATCTATCTATCCCAGTCTATCTATCTATCTATCTATCTATCTATCTATCTATCTATCTATCTATCTATCTATCTATCTATCCCAGTCTGTCCATCATCTATCTATCTATCTATCTATCTATCTATCTATCTATCTATCTATCTATCTATCTACTCTCTTCAGTTTCTTTTCTATTTTAGAAACTAGCAACATCCAAACTTTTCAGTGAGGTGATCATGCGAGAATTAGAAGTCCTATCAGGATTCATTATTGACGACAACACTCTTAACAGCATGAGATATGCAGATTACAGTGTTGATAGCAGACGCAGAAAAGAAGCAATAGAACCTCCTACAGGAAGTTGGAAAGGAAAGTGAGAAAATCGTAAATATAAATTATAAAAAAAGATAAAATGTATGACAGCGAACGACATATTCGTGATACCAAAATCAAGCAATTACACAAATTGAAATATCTAGGAATTGTTTTAACAGAGGACAAAAAATGCAACACTGAAATCCGAAAGCAAAGTGTTAAGAAACAGGAAAAGGTCGTTAGAAATAAAGAGCAATATCAGCCCTTCTCTATGACAGTGAACGCTGGACAATCTTCGCACAGATGAAGAAGAGAACTGAGGCATCAAAAATTTGGCTCTACAGAAGGATGCTTAGAATACCATAGACTGAACTTGTGAGAAACGACGAAGTCTAAAAGAACATGAAAACAAAAAGGACACATAGTTTAAATCGGAAAAAGACAAGATGAGAAAAGAGGGCTCGGAAAATGTAGCACTCACAAGACAAGTTGACAATATGAGGGAGAAAGGAAAACAGTGAATAACCAGCTGAGATTGTATAAATGGCTGGTAGAACAGGGATTAGAAGAGATAGCAACAAAAAAAAAACAAACAAAAAAAAAACAAAGCCCTCACCGTCAACATCATGAAAGGACACCGTAGATAAAAGAAAAAGAAGAAAATAATGAAACAAAGAAACCCTTGTCTTTATCTATACTTTCTTCTTTTTTATTATATTCGTTACGTTTACTTCTCTCTCTCTCTCTCTCTCTCTATCTATCTATCTATCTATCTTAATCAATTCTTCGATATCTCTCGTTCATATTTCTTTTTACTTTTGTTTCTGTTGCTTCAATTACTTAGCATATCCAGAATACATTTCGTTCTAGGACTGAAAATAATGGAAAACTAACACGCATTACTACAAAGTGCGATTCAGTTCAACGTTTTCGTAACCAAGATTCCCTTTCCAATTAAACCCAGGCGGACGGCAACTCTCAAAGTATTTCTTGGCTGGTAGGATCCTCAACAGCAGTTTCAGTAAAAGGTCACTGCCTTCCGCGGCTTTTCTGGATTTCACTAGTTTCGTCGGTGTGCCGATTTATCTAAGGGCCAGTCTTGAATTGTGGTTGAATGATGTCTTATTCGGATTCCAGATTTAGCCAGAAAACGATTACGTAATTAAATAATCATGTCATATTCTGAGTAGCAAGAAATTAATCCTTATTCTTCAGGTAAATGTTAACGACATTATTACCAAATCAGAACGTCAATTTTATATCCCGTACTTTACATTTAAGAATACTTTTTCTTTCTTTTATTTAGTCTTTATTTCTTTCAAAATAAGCCCTGATCGTCAATATTTTTGAATTTTTTAGTTGTTTATTCTTTTGTTAATTATTTCGTTCATTCTTTATTTAATTCAACCTACACCCTGATCTATTTTTCTATTTTCCGTCCGTCCTTCCTTCCTTCCTTCCTTCCTTCCTTCCTTCCTTCCCTTCCTTCCTTCCTTCCTCCCTCCCTCCCTACCTTCCTATTTTCCTTCCTTCCTTCCTATTTTCCTTCCTTCCTTCCTCTCTATTTTCCTTCCTTCCTTCCTCCCTACCTTCCTTCCTATTTTCCTTCCTTCCTTCCTATTTTCCTTCCTTCCTTCCTATTTTCCTTCCTTCCTTCCTATTTTCCTTCCTTCCTTCCTATTTTCCTTCCTTCATTCCTTCCTCCCTTCCTATTTTCCTTCCTTCCTTCTTATTTTCCTTCCTTCCTTCCTTCCTTCCTTCCTTCCTTCCTTCCTTCCTTCCTTCCTTCCTCTCTACCTCCCTTCCTATTTTCATTCCTTCCTTCCTATTTTCATTCCTTCCTTTCTTTTTTTCTTTCTTTCTTTCGTTCTTTCTTTCTTTCTTTCTTTCTTTCTTCAGTTGATTTGTTTTTCGTTTTACTTTAGTGTTTCTTTTATTCTTTCTGTCATCTATTCCATCTTTTATTCAGTATATACATGATCGTTACTTATTTCGCTATTCATCTCGGCCTCTTTGACAGTATCCTAACTTCTCTTCAACATGTCTTGATACATAGAATGGTTCTGGATAATCAGAAATAGAGATTCCGCTTCGCTATCTAAAATTTCCCCTTCTTTACTCAATCAATGTAATCGTATCGACAATTTCTGGTTGTTTTAATTCTTCATGGAAGTGTTTGCAGAATTTTACTCTCTCTCTCTCTCTCTCTATATATATATATATATATATATATATATATATATATATATATATATATATATATATATATTATTACAGTAATAAATTTTTGAAGAAAATTATTACCAGCAATACATTTATAAAAAAAAAAACGTATCACCAGAAATACATTTTAGAAAAAAAGTTTACCAACAATACATTTTCGAAAAAAAATACCATCTATAGATTTAAAAAAAATAATCTTACTAGTAATAGATTTTTGAAGAAAAAATATTACCAGAAATAGATTTTTTGAAGGAAAGAAATATTACCATACATTTTTAAAAGAAAAAAAAATACCAGCAATAAAAATTTTGTCGGCATTAAGTCACCCATTGAGGTTGATAGGCCGTAAAACAAACCAAACCAAACCAAACCAAACCAATTAAGAATTTATCAACACAATCTTCCGTTTTTTTCCAATATGAGATTTATCGATAGTACAGTCGATAAAATCTACGATTTGTCGACAAATTATTTGATTTTTCCATGGTACAGTCGACACAGTTTTCAAATTATTGGTGGTAAAGTCGTCACAGCCTTCAGTTTTCTATCAAACACTCGACAGAATATTCAGTTTTTCCATTGAACAATTGACAGAATATTCAGTTTTTCATAGTACAGTCGATAAAATCTTGGATTTATCATCAGAGGAGACACAATCAACAACCTCGAAGTGACTTTGCCTGAAAAAAACATGTTATTGAAAAAATATTTTTATTTCTTCCTCAATATTTGACCGAAATTTCATTGATTTGATTTAAATTTAATAATACCTGATGATCAAAGCAGAGCTATTAAACGGTTCTGACTTTGAAAGAATCGAGATTAATAAATTATATATAGGGACTATTCTGGAGACAATTTAGCAAGCTTTTCTCGAAATCTAGTGGTAATGGTAAGGGAAAGATCAACCGTTTCCATACAGGAAACATTTGACATTCTTCAATAGTACAATTATATTTAGTGTCGGTTGAAATTTATCAAATATTTCTCTTAATACAGTTTTTCAGAAAAATAGACTTTCAAATCCATTAACCTTTATCGCATTTATAGTATTGTTCGGCTATCTCTTTTGTTTATGATAGTATGGATTATATCATTATTTTACCATTAGTTACAATTGCTATGCATTTTAGTCGTTGCTGCTGTTGGAAATCTTCAAATGAGGTGCTTTTTTTTCGTTATTTTCTATAGGCCTTTATTTAGCATTTAATTTAAAATGACTCAAAGATCATAACCAGTCCTAAGGAAACTTTCTTTAAAATTTCATCTGAAGAGACAGAATTAACTTTATATTTGCATACAAAATGTCTGGAATATATAATATTGAATTTAAGCCAGCGTTTAACAAGTGCCTCTTAGGAGCGTTACGTAAAAACCTGCACCTTTTTCAGAGAAGCGATGACGACATCGTTGTTATGAAAAGTCCATTTTCCATTGACGCGAACAGCTAAAACCGGAAGTTGGATTATATAGAGATGGTGCTGGGATAGTTCAACCAGAATTCGACATGTGACCCATGTTTTATTTTTCAAACTGGTGTAGTGTCTGGTGGTGTCGCGTTAATATTTGATCTTTTTTAGTCAGTATTACGATATAAAGGTTAGAGGTGATTGTTCATTCAGTTTTTTCAATTGTGTGGGTATATAAGGAAACTAAATTTTCAAGTACATCTTCCTAGCAACATTTTCCACTGGCCAAACTCTTCACATCAACTGTTTGGTCTCCAGAAATGTTTATCAAGCGTTGGTCTGTGTCAGTATGTGCGATTTTTTGTTTTTTTCCCTGAACGCAAAAATAAAATGACAACGTTCTGCTTCTTATGACTGTGAAACTCCGACGCTTTTTTTGACAGACTACTGCACAGTTTCTATTCGTAATAATGTAAATATATTATTGGTAGTTGGCGGAAACATTCAAGCAATCACGTTGCAAGAACAGTGCTCGATGGTAAATGTAAAAAAAATATATACAAATATTCCCAATATAAGAAAAAACAATACACATATATTACTAACTTTTCGCGACTTTAAGTTTCATACGGAATGTAGTATATCATTCCTCGTAACGCCTGAAGATGTTGAGACAGGTGCATAACCATCTAGGTGACCACATAAAACTAAAGGAAAGGCTGTAATAACTGGGTATTATTTTTCTTATATTTATTATATTGGTTTCGTTTGTATATTTTTCTTGCCTATTGAAAAAGACAGTTAATATTATGAAATGTACAAAGTCCTACAATTATTTTAAGATATTTTTATGTTTATACAGTCTATCTTATAGATTCAAATATTTAAGTAAATGCTTCGTTTATAATAAACATTTACCGGCCTGAATGTCCGAGAAATTTTCATTCAGGCCGCTAAATGTCGTTAATACTGTTTATTATAAACAGAGCATTTACTTAAATATTTGTATCTATAAAAATAAAAGAATGTATGAACATAAAAATATCTTAAAATAATTGTCGGACTTCGTGCATTTCATAATGTGTGACGTCATTTATTTACAATTGGATACGCATCGAGCAGATATGAATGTACGAGAGAAAATCATGGAAAATTGTAGTTTAAAAACAGTAAAATCGACTTTGCTAACCGAAATGCTCCTCTGTGGCTAAATCGGTAAAGCACGTCAGTCTATATGACGGTTCCGTATAGGATACAGTTTCGTTTCCTATCTAAGGACGTGTATTTTTTATAAAACATTTCTAAGGCATTCAGGTCGGTAAATGTTTTTAATACTGCTTATTATAAAATAGATCATTTACTTAAATATTTGTATCTATAAAAAAAGAATGTATAAATATAAAAATGTCTTAAAACAGTTAATATTGCAACAAGAGAGCAAGAAAATATAAGACCCTAAAAGGTTACCCATAAAGACCCTAAAATGTTGAACAATATTTGAGGAAGTAGCATGCGATTGTATTATTTGAAACCGAGTCGCAGCCATGACACACATACACACACACACACACACACATATATATATTTACCGTTTAGACATTTCTGAATTGCTTTAGCACCATGAAATTTCTAGGGCACATAACGAAGAAACATGGATTGGAAAATATGATGCTCTCACAACAGATTAAAGGCAAGGAAAACAGGAAAACAGTACATAGGTTAGTGAGCTTAAGTAAATGGATGCCGGAATAAGGTTTAAGAAAAATAAGAAAAAGACAAAATTTATTAAGAGCTACAATGAACAGGAAATAGTGAGGGGCCATGATCGCCTACGTCTTGAATGGACGCGGCACATAGAAGAAAGAAGAAGATTATTTTTACATTGAAAACATGTCGGAGTATATTATAATCAGTAGTAGTAGTAGTAGTAGCCGGCATAATAAGGCAATAGGCAAAATCCGGTTTGGTGAAAATACACATTCTATAGATATTTTAAAGGATCGTGATAATAAGAAGTTAAAAAGTACATTTACTAACACAGATGTATTGTGAACAGGTATTATTCTTATGGAACTGTCTACCATTTTTTTTTATTGCAAAAACAGCAAAAGAAAGGTTTAAACAAACTCATGGCAGCCAAAACTATGATACTCCTTGTTGAATCTGTGTGTCGTGAACGTATTCAAGCTGTAAGATGTCGTTACCCAAGTTTGCAAGGAACTAACAAGCGTCTATACAAAGGCATAACTTTTATCACTGATTATTACAGACTAACGTTCGTTCCCCTCTGGTGGTTCTTCTGACACTAATGGATATGTACACAATGGGGTACTGTCGTGAATTGAAGACTACCTATATGCATGTGTACTTTTAGTTCTGCTGCAATTAAATGATTCCAGACTGTCCGTTCTTTTTTTATATTTGCGAGGACAGGTTTACAAAGAAGCTGTTATTTTAATGTTTCGGGAATTTGTTAACACTATAATGAAAATGACAGATTTTAAAGTACAGAATATTATCAATTTTCACTTTACAAAAATGAAGAAACCCAACTTAAGAAATACATCGTTTTTTTTAAGGAAGTTTTGTAATAATTCTTCGACTCAGTCGAACACATATCAATGCAGAAGGACGAGAAAGTGTCTATCGATGGAGATGATCATTATGGACGAATGTCTACAGAAATTCCACTGAAAAATCTTTTAAATAACTTTTTAAATTATACCTCACTAAAGTTTTCTCATTTTATTCCACTCCCAGTAAAGCCTTGCGTCTTAGTGACATTATCGCCTTGATTGGGATTAAATGAAATTCGAATTCAACCATTAAACTAACTCAAATCCTTTTATATATTAGTGAATTTATTCGTATTTTTGCATATTTTCCATGCAATTTTTATTTAGTATGCCCATCTTTTTCTCGGGTAGATTTTTTCAGGGCCGAAGTCGATATATTATTTTCCATACAGGAAACATTTGACATTCTTCAACAGTACAACTATATTTAGTGTCGGTTGAAATTTATCAAATATTTCTCTTAATACAGTTTTTCAGAAAAATAGACTTTCAAATCCATTAACCTTTATCGTTTTTTTAGTATTGTTCGGGTTTTTTTCTTATCTCTTTTGCTTATGATAGTGTGGATTATATCATTATTTTCCCATCTAGTTACAATTGCTATGCATTTTAGTCATTGCTGCTGTTGGAAATCTTCAAATGATGTCGTTTTTTTTGTTTCGTTATTTTTTATAGGCCTTTGTTTAGGATTCTGTAGCACCAGTCTACAAGATCTGA